TAAATAAAACCAAACAAGCCAGTATCTTAATTCTTAAAAATAACTCAGAGAGGGCCGGGCGCGGTGGCTCATGCCTGTAATCCTAGCACTCGGAGAGGCCAAGGCAGGCGGATTGCTTGAGGTCAGGAGTTCGAAACCAGCCTGAGCAAGAGCAAGACCCCGTCTCCCCCATCTACTATAAAATAGAAAGAAATTAATTGGCCAAGTAATATATGTAGAAAAAATTAGCCGGGCATGGTGGCGCATGCCTGTAGTCCCAGCTACTCGGGAGGCTGAGGCAGTAGGATCGCTTGAGCCCAGGAGTTTGAGGTTGCTGTGAGCTAGGCTGACACCATGGCACTCACTCTAGCCTAGACAACAAAGCAAGACTGTCTCAAAAATAAATAAATAAATAAATAACTCAGAGAAAACCATCATAATAATATCAAGCATTTTCTCAGTTCTCTTTTCTTTCTGGCCTTAAATTTAGTAGTTTCTAGAATTAAAATTTTGAAAAAATTAATTCATTGACTTTAAAACAGAAACTGAGACTATTAACTGTAGCTTTTCATACACAATAAAGACAGCAAAAAAAGTATTCTAACACTTGAGTACAAAAGGTAACAGATTTTGAGCAGTTTTCTATTAATCTAGACTTACTTAATATTTAGGATTGGCTTTTATTTTATTTTCACTTATAGATTATGCTAATGTTAGTTTGTAGCAAACTATAAAGAAATTCACCATAAGGAGATACTTATCCTAAATAAATGAGGGGAAAAAGAAGGCAAATGACCTGATTGCTCAAAATTAAATAACTTTGAATGTAATACATAAAACACAAAGAAACATTAATTGATGGACTTAACAGTAAAGGATAAAAACCTTTGCAAATTGTATGTTTTCCAAAGAGATTTCAGTTACGATAAAGGTGACATTTCAAACCTTTGAAGAATCTCATAACTAAAGAAATGCATAGTATAATAAATAACACTTTTTGTCAATTAGACTAGCAAGGATTAAAACATTGGTTAATATTTAGAAGAATGTGGGAAAACAGATATTTTCATAAATTGCCAATAAGAATATCAAGTGGTACAACTTAACTGCAACTTTACAATACATATCAGAAGTTAAAGTGCACATATCCTTACTTATTTTTTTGTTTTTTCTTTTTTATATGCCCCTCAACATTCCTCCATAAAGTGCATGCATCCTTTGACCTAGTTACAAATTATCCTGACACTCTCACACAATCCCAATGATATAATAAAGTATATAGTGCTTATGTAAAAGCAAAAACCCCTGACATTTACTGAAATATTAATAAGGAAACAGTTGAATGTGGAATATATTTTGAAAAATGTCCAAGATATACTGGTAAGTGGTAAATTGGTAAATGGTAAACAAAAAGATGCAGATTACATAGCACCTATTTTTGGTAACTTGTGGGGAGTATAGTGCTGGGGGGAAGGGGAGAGTTTTACTTTTGACTTTAAAATTTCTGTACTATTTGCTCATATATATAAACACATGTGATTTTTATATAACAATTAAATTTTGAAAATACTAAATGTTACTGGGCAATACAACTGGAAAAGGTCAAGTGTACATTGTGCAATCTCATCTAGAATTAAGAACAAAGAATTTTATTAATTAAAAAGTTTTCTTTTTCAGTCTACAACAAAGGACAGCACACATCTACAGTGCTACTAAAGAAACTAAAGCACAATGAGGTTAATTGAGAAATTAAGTAAATTAATATAAGATAAACATCCATAAAGGATTTCAAATCCTTGGATTCAGGGATTCTGTAAAATGAAAAACCTTAGGAGCAGCTGCCTTTGTGAAATACTGATGCACAAAAGAGAAAGAACCTATAACTGTGGTATAGCTATTAGCCTCTGAGAAGAAAAACTAGTCTAAAACTTTTTAGAGACATTAATTTAAGCAAGGCAATCTCAAGGTTAAACTCCTCTGGATCCCCAAATCTTAACAGGAAAACTAAACACACTTCACATTCAGGATGGAAAAAAAACAAAAAAAAGGAAATAACCAAGCTTCTACATTCAGTAAGAATCTATATCTAAAAATCCTTATAGGGAGATAGAAGGAATAGCATGAGATAGGGTCAGCGTCCAACTCCGTGTTCAACCATTATGGAAGAAGGTGCAGACAGGGAAAGCAACAAATTGATCCCAGTGGGGAAGAACCTCTCCTTGCTTTGGACTTGCTAGAGGGCAATCAAGCTTCAGGCATAAAAATCCCCAGGTGATTACTATATCCAACCCAACTAGCCAATTTCAAATATAGAAGGACAAAAACAGTCAAAATGCATTAAAATTTTTAAAATGTTTTATTTCTTAAGAAAGTATATTGTTTATATATGTTATATTACACACCTACAATAATGAAACAAAAAAATTTTAAGTGCGTTTCAGCAAACAGCAAGCTTCCTAAGCTACAGGAATCACATATGTTATCATCACAGTTCCAGACTATAATTCTTCAATTTCTTCCTTCATAGTTCTAACCTTCAGGGAAATGAGGAAAAGTTTTCTTCAATTCTTATACATGTGACTAGTCTTCCTATTTGTATTAGTCTAACAATTTTTTTTAAAAAATCTTTAAGTTAAAGAAATATTAGTAACTAGTATAAACCCACAACGAGAATACTCTCTTTGTAACAAACACTTCAATTTCTACAACAAGGATTAATGCCTTCATTTGGAAATACTAATCAAAATCCACAATGGCAGTCATATTTAAGGTCTGAACTAAGAATATTACTAGTCATTTTATTTCAACTGGATTGAAGGAAGACTTGGAAGATATTTTATTTCTCTTTCCCAAATGCCTATAATGCTGCCTCTGGATTGCCCTCATTGGCTCTTTCCAATAGTCCAGGAGCAATTGAAGTGCCAATGCCCCATTCAAGCCAACATTCTAAATCCCTATTTGTTTGAGAGAAAAGAACTCTTTCCATTGATCTATGTTTAACAAACATTCACTGAGTGCATACAGTATCCTGAGCATCGTGCTAGGGTGTCCACCTTCAAAGAGTTCAACATCTATACTGCATTATGGCCAGGCCTGGCTCAAAAGATAAGATGATTCTTGAGATAGACTATTTTAGGAGATAAACTGACAACCAGCAGAAGGGTAATTGGGGAGGCATGGGGTTGGAGGAGAGTGACAATATATACTTATGCCTAGAACCAGAAATACAAAACATTATATTTAATTTATTCATATCATTCTAGACATTTTGGTATAGCTGCAATGAGATAATTGTATGCCATGGGCTTACTACATTTTATCCTGCAGGTGATGGGGAACAATGAAGGAAACAGGTAAGAGGAAGGAAAGCAGTGTAGAAGTTGGCAAGTGAGGCCAGAGACTTGGAGAATCCAATAAACAAAATGATAAAAAGAAAATATAAATACTTTGTGGTATGTTCATACAATGGAATATTACTCAGCAATAAAAAATAATGGACTAATGATATACTCACAACAACATAAATGAAACTCAAAAACATGTTGAATGAAAGAAGCCAAATACAAACTATATAGTTCTATGTATATTAAAGTCCAATAAATAGGACTTTCACATTCACTGTATAGTATTATACAGTACATACTATATAATTCTTTGTATATAAATTCCAATAATAGGTAAAACTAAACTATGCTGATAGAAGTCAGAAAGATACCCTGGAGAAAGGCTATTGGATTAGAAAGGGGAAAAGTGCAAGGAACTTTCTAGAATAACAAAATGCTCTATATCTTGATCTAGATAGTGGTTACATGTGTGAATATATGTAAATTATACTGTAATACTAAAGAAAATGTATATATAATGGTATTAAAAGTCAGAATAAGTTAATCCAGTGTCATTCCACAAGCAACACTGAATTCATAGAAAATCAGAACAAAGGTTCTGAGAGACACTGTATATTCAACTAGCAAACAAAATCAAGTATTAGCTTCTTTTCCACTTCAGGAAGACATATAGAAAAGTATTCTTTATAATAAATGCTATAAGAACAAACTGTTCCTCCTAAAGAAAAAGAAATAGTCCACTATTAACAACAACAACAAAAATTTCCACACAGTAGTACCTACCACACAGCAGGTTTTGTAATGATTAATAAGGCACTAATAGAATTTAGAGCACACTAAGCACTTACTCTTCAAACTACCCCTACTATTATTATGTATAATAGCAATAAAAGGGAAACTTTGCTTCAAAGTATGCCTTAACTGCTGATTGAGATTTCATTATTTAAGTGTGTATTACTAAACTACAGCACTTCTTATCATAGGCTTCTTTTTTTAAAAACAAACATTGAGATCAGCACATTTTTGACAGCTGAAGAACATCTGGTTAGATTAGACAAAGAGCAAGTTAACTACAATTTTATCAAAGTATGCTTTTTACTGTTTATATTCAGAAGCCATATTCACTTACCAATAGGTAGTAAATGTATTTTTTAATATTTCAATAGCTTATATTATTAAAATAATAATTTATAACTCTGAACACTATTTAACAGAATAAATCACAATTTGGTGAATTTAATCAATTTGTGAAAGTGCTTCATTAGCAGTAATAACAAAGTAAAATTCACTAAAGTATTACTCGTGTTCTTTAGCAAATCAGGTGAGAACAATGAAGCAATCCAACAAATCTCTTACTGAACTGGTAAGAGTTCAGTAAGATTGGATAAACCAAACATCAACTTAATTTTCTAACATGTTAGAACACTCAATGGCAACTTGCATGCTTTAGTTAATCTCAACACAAAAAAGGGAAAACTAAGAATTTATTTCCACAATTTGATAGCTGTATTTTTACTCCTACTAAATCAATTGGACTGTGTTAAAAAGTCAATTTTTCATATTTCAAAATTTTATTTAAAAACTCTTTGATTCTGGAATCAAAGGCACATTTTTAAGACTTATTTTTATTATCCCTACCTTGATATGTAACATTTAACAAAGTAGTCTTCTACTTACCTAGGTTTTGTCTTATTAACATCTTGCTTCAAGAACAATCTCATCCGAAATTAAATCAAACCTGAAAAAATATATGAAAAGACAATTGTTTAGTTTTTTGTTTCCGGTATGAGTAACTATATCTACAACACACTGTTCTTTTAAATTAAAAACTGCATATCAAATTATTTTTGATACACCATCTGAAAGTGTTCAACTAAAACATGAACATTTTAACCTTCTGGAAACTAAGTACCTGTTTTTTGTGGTTTTTTTTTTTTTTTGAAGAATAATCTATTCAAATGAGGAACTCAAACTTTCTAACCCTTTTTAAAAAAATTCTACAAAAGTTGTTTTCATTAACTTTAATAATATGGCAATAGTTAAAATGATTATTAATAAAACACACTTCTTTCTAGATCAGTGTTTACCTAATAATTACATACATACCAAAAATATATCAAAAAGCTGAAGACAAAAAACATACAGTATGGGAATGCATAAAAGTATATACTAATAGTAATCATATTAATGGCTAATGCTGATTAAATACTTTTACTAAATGCCAAGCACCATTATTCTAGACAACAGCACATATTGATACACTCCTGATTTTTCCATTTAGTATAAAGTGACTTCTACCCTAACAATCCACTAAACATGTACTTACCAAAAGTCTACCTACCACTATTAATATTACCAAATCTTAAAAGTTCTAAAAACTCAATATGTTCTACCCTAAATTCTACACATTTCCTCCCTCAACCTGAAACCAGCTTCTTAAAAACCTGGCACCACCATAGCTACTTCCATTATTAACCTACATTACTGTAACTGTTCTATTTCCAACTTACTATCATCTCAAGTTTGTTCTTCCCAGAACTGTATGAGTAATAATTTTACAGTGGCTATCCTAAACATGTCACATCTATGCTACAAGTTCTGTAATAGTACTTGTCAATGATGTCAGCTTTATCAGTTTGCAATCACTACTCTCCCATTCACTCCATGTTTCTACCATACTATAACTCTTCAATTCTGAGAATGGCCCCCATTCTCTCTCAGTTTTCATGCCTTCTCACATGGGTAAACTGTAACTATCTACCTATAACTACCTTCTACCTCTCTTTAACTTTGCTATCACCTTTTTACTAGTCCTTCATTATTTAGCTCAGTCACTCTGGCAGATTCTTCCTTTTAATTCCTTTAGCTGTGTAAAACTGTGTTTCTCAATTGCTATAGCAACTCCAGAAAGCTCTGTGTCACCTTTTCTGTTGTGTATTTTCTGAACTACAGTGGACACATTGCAGATACATTCATTTGTTTCATTTTAGCACTCTCACTGGATGGCTCATAGTAAAAGTATAGCAATATGGGCTGAATAAGAGATTCAAATTTTGTGTTGTATCCCAAAATATACTTGGGAAATAGAAGATAATCAAGTAAAACTCAGGCTAATGAGTTTAGTTCACATTTTCAAGAAGAGGAGAAAAAAACTGCATCACTTCTAGATACAGGAACATTACTTTATGAAATATCCACATCTAAGTAAAAAGCACAATTGACAAATATCAGTACAGTACAATCTTTCACTGAATGAATTAATTAATTACATTAATTATCAGTAACAAGATTTGGGTACTAAATGTTTCTATCCCTATAGAAAATAAAGTTTGTGGACTAGAAATCCTACACTACTGTAGTATCAGCCTTAAACAGAAACGGGTTGGGAAGGAAGGCAAATAATGTTTTAGTACTAATCATGTCAATAACCTAGAAAAGTACATCTCCATCTTTGTGTACATCAAAATCACCTGGAAGGCTTATTGTAACACAGAGTGCCAGGCCCTGCCCTCAGAGTTTCTGATTTAACAGGTCTAGATTGGAGTCTGAGAATTGTGATTTCTAATAAATGCCTAAAGTGATGATGACCACACAGAGAACCACAAACCTGGAATTTTCTGCATAGGATCTGGAAGAGATGAGAATGTTCTAACACCCACCATCAACCTCCATCCACCCAGAACTGAGACAAACTAAACTATAAATCAAAGCAAGAACATTAAAAGTCTGAGTGTGACAGACTGAAAAATGGCCCTACCAAAGATATCTACCCCAATCCCTAAAACCTGTGAATATTAAGTTACATAGCCACCAAAAAAAGTCTTTGGAGATATGATTATATTAAGCACCTGGAGACGGGGAGATTATCTGGGTGGGCCCTAAATGCAATCACATGAATCCTTATAAGGAGGCAGGAAGAAATTTGACTACATACATAGAAGGTGATGAAAGGAAAACAGAAGAGAGATTTGAAAACGCTGGCCTTGAAGACTGGAAGGACAGAGGCCACAGCCAGGAATGCCCGCAGCTACCAGAATCAGGAAGAGGCAAGGAATAGATTCTCCTCTCTATTCTCCTCTAGAGCCTCCCTCTGGAAGGAACAGAGCCCTGCCCTCACCTTGATTTTGGCACAGTAATACTGATTTTGGACTTCTGGCCTCCAGAACTGTGAAAGTATAAATTTCTGTTGTTTTAAGCCGCCTAATTTGTGGTAATTTGTTAAAGCAACCATACATACTAATATACTGAAGATGACAGGTTCTCAAGGAGATAAACTGGAAACACCCCTACATAATAAAAGGTATAATAGACTGAACTGAGTCTCCCTCGAAATTCATATATTGAAGCCTTAACCCCAATTATCACTATATTTGGAGCTAGGACCTTTCAGGAAGTAACTAAGTTAAATAAGGTCATAAGGATGGGGCCTTACCCACTACGACTGGTGTCCTTATAAGAAGTGATAAAAGACATGCACACACATGGAATAGGTTATTTAGAGAGGCCTCAGGAGAAACAAAACCTGCCAACATCCTGATCTTGAATTTCCAGTCTCCAGAACTGTGAGAAAATTTCTGTTGTTTAAGCCACTCAGTCCATGGTATTTTATTATGACAACACTAACAGTGTTGTCAACTAACTAATAATAATAATATTATTATTAAAAATACACAAACAATGTAAATGCATTTAATGCCATAGAACTGTACACTTAAAAATAATTAAAATGGTACAATTTATTTTATGCATATTTTACAATAAAAAATAGAAGCATATACAAACACCACAAACTTTGACTTGAGCTGTTTAATTTTTTTATCTTGCTCTGCTTATAATACCTTAAAATCTATAAAAAAACTTCTTAACTGTATTTGTTCCCCATAAACAAAACCAGCACATTTTAGACATACATTAATTCTTATTTATTTTTAAAATTTTATTTTTAATTGACAAATAACAATTGTACATTTTTAATTTACGTTGTACAATGTGATGTTTTGATGTGTTTACATTGTGGAATGATTAAATCACACTAATTAAACCCATCATCTCACATATTTATTTTTTTGTGGTGAAAACATTTAAAATGTATTCATTTAGCAACTTTGATATATACAATGCCTTGTATTTATTACAGTCACCATTCTGTACAACAGATTACTAAAGTTTATTCCTCCTGTCTAACTGAAATTTTGTACCATCTGATCAATATCTCCCCTTTTTCTATCTACCCTGCTACTCAACCCCAGGTAAACACCATTCTACTCTCCATTTCCATGAGTCCAACATTTTTAGAATCTACATGTGAGATCATGTGGTATCTGATTTTCTGAGTTGGTTTATTTCACTTAGCCTAATGTCCTCCAAGTTCATATGTTGTTGCAAATGCCAGAATTTTCTTCTTTTTAAGGCCGAATACTATTCCATTGTGTATACATACCACCTTCTCTTTATCCATTCATCCAATGATGGACATCTAGGTTGCTTTCCATATCTTAGCTATTGTGACTAATGCTGCAATGAACATGAAAATGCAGATATCTTTTTAGCATATTCATTTCAATTCCTATAGATATATACCAGGAAGTAGGATTGCTGGATCCTATGGTAATTCTATGTTTAGTTTTCTAAGGAACCTCCATATTGTCTTCCATAATGGCTGTATTAATTTATACTCCCACCAACAAGACACACAAGAGTTTCTTTTTCTCCATATCCTTACCAATATTTGTTATTTTTCATCTTTTTCATAATAGCAATTAAACATGTTTTTAAAAGGATTTTATAAAGAAGTTTGATAGAAAGTACTTTTCAATCCATACCTAAAAAGTAAAACATATATGAAACCACTGCAGTCTGAAAAAGAAAGTAAAATATAATCGGAATACTATAATATTTAGGTAAGTGCTAGGGAAGGTACAGAAAATAGGAAAATACTTAGAGTAGTTAGTATAGCTGGGTTTACCTCAAAAGGATTTTAAGAGACTACTCGATTATGAAAATGTCAAATATATCCTCCCCAAAATGTATAACCACAATCTAATCATGAGAAAAACATCAAATTCCCAAAGAAGAACATCCTATACTATATCTGACCAACACTCCTCAAAACTGTTAATGTCATCAAAAACAAAGCCCTGAGGAGTCTAGGCAGACAACTTAAGCATGACAACCAAATGTAATGTACCTTGGAACAGAAAAGAAACATTAGGTAAAAACTCAGGAAACCTGAAAAAACTATGGTTTTAGTTAACAGCAACGTGCCAATATTATTAGTTCATTAATTGTAACAAATGTACCAAGTTATATGTAAGATGTTAACAACAGGGGAAACATAGGGGTGGTGGTGGGGTGAGAATATGGAACACTCTTTGCTATCCTGTTCAAATTTTCTTTAAATCTGAAACTTCTGAAAAATGTCTATTAATTTTTAAACATATTTTAAATATATTGAAGAGACATGAACATATTTTAGAAAATTAAACACTGACAATTCAGAACCTTCAGAATTAAATCTGAAGTTCAGATAGACACCAAAAATGTGTACAAAGTAGGTCACAGAACAAGTCTCAACCAATTTACAAAGACTGAAGTAACAGCAAGTATCTTCTCCAACCACAATGGAATGAAACTAAAAACCAATAGTTGAAGAAAAACAGAAAAACCTACACATATAGAAATCTAGCAACTTATTATGAACTGATGGGTAAAAAAAGAAATCATAAAGGAATTTTTAAAATATCTGGTGACAAACAAAAACACAGCATACCACTTATGGGATGCAGTAAAAGCAATACTAAGGAAGTTTGTAGCAGCAAAAGCTTACATTAAAAAAAAAGATCTCAGAGCCAGGTGCAGTGTGGCTCTGTAATCCTAGCACTCTGGGAGGCCAAGGCAGGAGGATTGCTTGAGCTCAGGAGTTCAAGACCAGCCCAAGCTCTTTAGTCTCTAGTCTCGAGAACAAACCAAACCAACCATTAGCAGAAGGAAAAAAAATGATAAATATTAAAACAAGGATAAATGAAACAGAGGATGGAAAAAGTGGGGGGGGGGGTATAAAACCTAGAGTTTTACTTTTAAAGAGCAACAAAATTGACAAACCCTTAGCTAGACTAAGAAAGAAAGAGAGAAGACTAAAATAATTAAAATCAAAAATGAAAACAAGGACATTACAAATGATGCCAAAAGGATTATAAGAAAATACTATGAACATATATCAACAAATTGGATAACCCAGAAGAAATGGGTATGTTTCTAAAAATATATACTAACCAAAAATAAACCATGAAAGATAAAAATTCTGAATGGCCTATAACTAGTAAAAGGGAACTGGTTGCAGTAATCAAAAACTTTCCAATTAAAGCCCAGGACTAGATAGCTTCACTGGAGAATTCTACCAAATATTTAAAAAATAATTACTACCAATCTTCCTCAAACTCTTACAAAGAACTGAAGAGAAACAAACACTTCAAATTCATTCTACTACATAAGGTCAACATTACCCTGATCCCCAAAACCAGACAAAGACACAATGAGAAAGAAAACAAGAAAAAAACTATAGCCCAATATCAAAGATGAATATTGATATAAAAATCCTCAACAAAATCCTAGCAAAACAAACTCAACAGCACATTAAAAGTATTACACAGCAAGTGGAATTTATTCTTGGAATGCAAGGATGGTTCAAGTTATGAAAACTAATCATTGTGATCTACCACCTTAACAGAATGAAGGGGGGAAAAAAATCACACGATCATCCCAGTTGATGCAGAAAAAGAATTTGACAAAATTCAACACGATTCATTATAAAAACATGCAACAAACTAGGAATGAAAGGAAACTACTCGAACATAATAAAAGCCATATATGAAAAGCCCATGTCTAACATCATATTCAATGGTGAAAGACTGAAAGCTTTTCCTTAAAGATCAGGGACAATGCAAGGATATCCACTCTCACTGTTTATATTCAATGCAGTAGTGAAAGCCCTAGACAGAGCAATTAGGCAAGAAAAAGAAATAAATTGGAAATGAAGAAATAAAATTATTCCTGTTCTCAGACGATGTGAACTTATATGCAGAAAACCCTAAACTTTTTACAAAACAAAAACCCAATTGTTAAAACAAATAATATCAACAAAGCTGCAGCATACAAAAAACACACAAAAAAATGAGTTGCATTTCTATTCATTAACAATAATCAACACAAAAAGAAAATTAAAAATATAATTCCATGCACAATAGCATCAAAAAGATAATACTGAAGGATGCAACAGACTTGTACACCTAAGAAAACACTGCTAAAAGAAACCTTTATACAAATAAATGGACAGATGTCTTTTGTCTGTAGACTGGAAGACTTATTATTAAATGTCCATACCACTCAAAGTAATTTACAGATTCAGTGTAACCCTGTCAAATCCCACTGGCATTTTTGGCAAAATAGAAAACTCTGTCCTTAAACTTATATGGAATTTCAATGGACCCCAAAGAACTGAAACAATCTGGAAAAAGAACAAAATTGGAAGTCTCACACTTCCTTATTTCAAAACACTACAAAGCAACCGTAATCAAGACAGTGGTGGTACTGTATTAAAGACAGACATATAAACCAATGTAATAAAATAGGTAGCCCAGAAATAAACCTGTGCATTTATGGTCAAATGGTTTTTGACAAGGGTATTAAGGCTACACAATGGAGAGAGAATGGTCTCTTCAACAAATAGCATTGGTAAAACCTAATATCCATATGCAAAAGAATAAAGTTGGACCCTTACTTTACACCATAAACAAAATTTAACTCAAAATGGATAAAGACTAAAACATAAGACCTAAAACTATAAAACTCCAAGAAGAAAACACAGGGGAAAGCTTCAGGACACTGGATTTAGCTAATCAACTCCTGAATGTGACACCAACGCACAGACAACAAAGCAAAAATCAACAAATTAGACTACATCAAACTTAAAATCTTCTGTACATAAAAGGAAATAAGCAAGAGTGAATAGATAACCTACAGAACAGGAAAAAAATGGGCAAATCATATTCTGATAATAGCCAAAATATGTAAGAAACTCCAACTGAACAACATAAAATGGCCCAATTTAGAAATGTGTAAAGGTTCTGAATGGGCCATTCTCCAAAGAAGACACCCAGAACTAGCATATGAAAAGATGCTCAACATCACCAATGAGAGAAATGCAAATGAAAACCAAATAAAATATCACCTCTCACCCATTAGGCTGTTATCAAAAAACCCCGGAAAATAACAACTGTTGGTAAGAATGTGGAAAAATTGGAACATATAAAATGATGCAGTCATTATGGAAAACAGTAACATGGTTTCTCAAAAAATTAAAAATAAAATTATCATCTGATCCAGCTATCCCACTTTTGGGCAAATATGCAAAAGAATTCAAAGCAGGATCTCAAAGCGCGATTTGCATACCCATGTTCACAGCAGCATTATTCACAATATAAAACAGGTAGAAGCAATCCAACTATCAACCAATGAACAGTTAAAGGAAATGTGGAATATATGTACAATGACTATCATGTAGTCTTTAAAAAGAAAGAAATTGTGTCACATGCTACAACATGGATGAACCTCAAGGGCATTATGCTAAGAGATTATGCACAGGCTAATCACAAAGGGGCAAATACTGTACCATTCCACTCAGAGGAAGTATCTAAATTACTCAAAATTATAGAAATAGAAAAGTGGAAAAGTGGTTGTCAAGGTCTGGGGGAGAGGGTAGGTGAAGTAAGTACTTAATGGATGTATAGTCTCAGTTTTCTAAGATGAAAAAGTTCTACAGACCTATTACACAATTTGTATATATTTAACACTACTGACCTATTACACAATGTGTATATATTTAACACTACTATACACTTAAAAACAGGTAAAATGGTAAATTCTACAGACCTATTACACAATGTGTATATATTTAACACTACTATACACTTAAAAACAGGTAAAATGGTAAATTTAATGTTATGGGGTTTTATTTACCACAATAATAAATAAATATCAAGGGGAAAAATACATACCAGGAAACTTTTGGGGGTGATGAATGTATTCATTATCTTATTTGTTATGATAGCTTCCTGAGTATGTAAAACATATGTCAAAACCTGTCAAATTATATACTTTAAATATGTGTACTTCATGGCATGTAAATGCCTCAATAAATCTGCTTTTAATATCTCAATAATAACAAAACAATCCAAACTAGGAAGAAGATTTGAAGCAGCACTTCACCAACTACACATAAAAAACAAATAAGCATATGAAAAGATGCTTAGTATCTTTTATCACTAGGGAAGTGCAAAGTAAAGCCATAATGAGATACTACTACACAACTAAAAGAATGGCTACAATTAGTAAGACCAACTACACCAAGTATTCATGAATAAGTAGAGGAACTCAAATTCTCATACATTCCATACGGGAAGATAAAATGGTACAATTACTTTGTAAAATAGTTTTACAATTTCTTAAAATATCAAATATATACCTACTAATGATCCAGTCATTCTACTTCTAGGTATTTATTCAAACAAATGAAAGCATATGTCCATATAAAAATGGACATACCATCTCTATAATAGCCAAAAACTGGGGGGGAAATGTCCATCAACATGTGAATACATATCTCTACAATGGAATAAGTAGGACTGAACTAGTGAACCATACAACATGAATGAATCTCAAAATAATTATGCTGAGTAAAAACTCCAGACAAAAAGAGTACATACTACATGGTTTCATTTATATGAAATTTTGGCATATGCAAACTACACCATAATTGACAGAAAGCTGATCAGTCATTGCCTGGACACAGGGGGAGAAGTAAAAGGGAAGGATTACCAAGGGTCACAAGGACACTTTGGAAAGTAAAGGATATGTTCATTACCTTTGACTGTGGTGATGATTTCATGGGTGTATACAAATATCAAATCTGTTCAAACTGTACAGTTTAAACATGTGATTTAGTATGTCATTGTACTTCAGAAATCTTTTAAAAATTCACAATATGCTAAGAATAAACAGAGAAAAAAGTCAAATCTTAAATTAAGAAAGTCAGAATAATGATAAATGAACCCCAAAAGAACACTGTCATTTATAACCAAAAGAGTAAAGGTACAGATAGAACCACCTCTCAATAATTGGTAATTTATCAACAACTGGTAATTACCTACTTACAACTGGTAATTCGATGCATAAATAATGCTTTCAAAATCTCATCAGACATGCTTTATGAAATAAATATAGCTGAATCATCTGGACTTCTAGACAAATTGGTATATATAATTTATATCTGCCCCAACTTCTATATCTAAACACAATTCCTACTGAAATATAATTGGACCAGAACTAAACAATGAAAATTAATCTAATTTTACAAACCGAATCAAAAAGCCTGATTGCAAAAAATAGCCCAACTCTACACCACCCTTTATTATCTATGTATTTGGCAACGAAGTTCTGTAGTTTCTCCCGTCAAGAGGTAGAGTACTTTTCCTGACCTCTTAACTCTAGGATTAATCTCAAAAGAAACACCAGTCACCCTTTGCCAGTTCTGAACTTAGGCCTCAAGAGACCTTGTATGCTTATGTTCTCTCTTTCAGAACCTTGCCACTGACATGAGAACAAGCTCACTCTGATCAGTAGGATGAGGGCAGCCGATAAGTCTCATCTCATCTAGACTAGACAACAGCCAGCTAACCATAGGCAATTCAAGATCAGCCTGTAGCCCAACTCCCAAACATGTCAGAGAACCCAGCCAAGAGAAGCAAAGCCACCTTTCTGATCTGCTGCTAAATACAGACATATAAATGAGCCCCCCCAAAACCAGAAGCACTATCCAGCTGACTCACAGACTTGTTCTAATGTTTATTGCTTTAAGTCACCAAGTTTCAGAGTAATTTGTTACAGATTAATAGCTAACTGATATAGCAACTCTATCTCAACAATATACCATAATAAGTTTTATCTCTAGAAGGAGTTATTTTAGATTAACAATTAATCTAGGTATCTTAACTTTTGAAGATGAGGAAAAAACCCTCTTCTATTATTAGAGGGAAAAAACCCTCTCCTATTATAAAACCCTCTTCTATTAAAAACCCTCTTCTATTATAGATATATAAACTGAGCAAAATCAATTTTATAAGTAATGTCACATGTCAATTATAATTGTTTGTGAAATTTTGTTCCTAGATTGCTTTACTGGATCTAACCAGAGTGAAAAATTTTAGGAGACCCCAAAATCTATAAAAACTGTTATAAAACAATCTGCTATCTCTAACATTCCCTCTATTTTTGTTATTTAATAATAGCACCCTGATTTTCTTTTAGGGAAACATTCTTACTCAACTACTAAAGTGGTGCCAATCCTAGGCCCCTGGATAGAGGGATAAACAAGTGACCCTCAGGCTGATCAAAGTACCCTGCCCCTAGCCACAGTAATTTGTTAATGGATGGGAATATAGCCCTCAGGACGTTTGCAAAAACTGGTGGGAAAGTGTCACTCTCTTCAGTGGAAACAATGGCTAGGTCAGAGCCATGACCTACAAACAATGATGTAGGTCAGGGCAGCAGTGGCCATCTCTGCTACTTCATGGAGAGAACATGTTTAGGAACAAAGCCACTATATAAGAAATCCAAGAGATAGACATCATCCTACTGATATCATATGAACTCATGGATTCAAACATGTCTAAGATAATTGCAGTAATAGAAAAATAGGTGATGCTTATCAATCCTCCTACCAAGATCTATACAAGAGAAACTGAACAAAATATAAAAAATCATTGATTTGAGGCTATCAGAAAGCTAACACAACAATAAAAAATGACCAGGCCAAGATCCAAGAGAAGATGGAAACCTACAGATGTGAACTAGCATCTGGGGATACTTTTGCCTTAGGGTTGCTTCCCAATACAGATGAGGCAGCTGAAAATTGAGCAGTATTTCTGACATAAGAGCTAAGTATACCAAAAGGGGAAGAGGGAGCCCGAAGTTCATATATGGCAGGAACCATACTAAATGCTGTCTACTATTTGAGTTGAGACCCCAAAGGACTAAATTCTAGTCAGTCAGAAGTAAATAAGTCTTTGCACACACCACAGTCCTACTTGAAGACATCTAGGTGGCCTAAAGAAAGTCTCAATCCCGAAAATTTAATGTAGATAATCCCAGACTGCCAGAGACCCAGGTGTCTGGCACAAGCAAACAAAAATTATCTCTAGAGAAAGATAATATTGCTCTAGGGCTCAGAATTTAGGCCTGGGAAAGCAGCTGGAAATTTAAATAGGAAAAGTATGGCAGCTAGAGCACCAAATGGGTGAAATAAAAATTCTGAGTATAAAAAAACATGGCAGCCAGAAAACCAAATGGGTAAAACAAAAGTCTGAGTATTAACTTTGCCCAAATCACTGGATAACTGATAAATTATATATGCACAGAGGAGACTTGAGGGGGTTGAAGGAAAAAGTAGGCAGAGGCCAGAAAGAATGCTACACTTGAAAAATAGAGCTGTACTGTGAGTTTGCTGCTTTTCAACAGAGTGAATTTCCCAACTGTGCAGTTTGAATGGCGGGAAGCTAAAGCCCTACCAGGCTGAAGTGTCAGGACAGAGCCAAAGCCCAGTACAACAGCTAGTGAAATGTTAGTAAAATCCCTAGAAACAAGAAAAGCAGAGGGTAAAATCTGACTCCATCCAAATCTTTGGGTGACAACCAACTTATTCAGGCACAGAGAGACCCTCGCCCCCAAGAAGGCCAAAACAGCAGCTACAGGAAGCTAGAAGAGAGCAGAGATATCAGTAGCTGCATAATCCAGGGGAGACCAAGTTTGTAGTCTAAGCCCAGGCAAGTTAACTACTTACCTAAAACAAAGAATAGCAATTCTAAGAACATTAACTGAATCTAGTCACTAATACATGTCCATAATATCCAGTTTTAAGCAAAAATTATATAATATGCAAAGACAGAGGAACATATGAGCCATACTCAGGAAAAAAGGGGAGTCAATTAAAAGATACTGATTCTGAACACACCTGAATGTTGGAGTTAACATACAAAAAATTCAAAGTGGCTATTCTAAGTATATCAACAAAATTAAAATAAAATATATTCAAACAATTCACAGAAACTAGAAAAAGAAAAAGTGAAAAATATAATAACTAAAATAAAAATTCACCAGATGGGCTCAACAGAAAATTACAGATAACAGAAGGAATATCAGTGGGTCTGAAGACAAGGAAATAAAACTGTCCAATCCAAAGAACAGAAAGTAAAATGATTAAAGAAAAATAAACCCTCAGAGACCACTAAGATAATATCAGGCAGTCTAACATATATATAACTCAAGTCCCAGAAAGACAGAAGAGTGAAAAGAGCACAGAAAAGTTTTTGTTAAAGAAATAATGGCAAAAACATCTTCAATTTGGTAGAAAACATTAACTTATAGATCCAGGAATCTCAACAAACCCAAGCACAATAAATACAAAAAACCCACTTCTACATATATATTATAGTCACGTTGTTGAAAGCTGAAGAGAAAACCTTGAGAGCAGCCAGAGAAAAAAAGACTGGTTACATATGAGAAATGATAGTACAATTAATGACTGACTTATCATTAGAAAAAATGGAGACATGGGAACAGTACCTTCTATATTCAGTGATATTATACTTCAAAAATGGAGGTAACAAAAGTTAATTTCAGATAAATAAAAATTGAGTTGTGGTGAGCAGACAAAAACCAACAGAGTTTTAAAAGGGGGGGGAGGAAGGAATGTAATAAAAACATTAAATCTAAAAGAAGGTAAGAAAGGTGAAAAAAAGAACACAATAGCCAGAATAAATAGAAAGCACATTATAAAATGGTATATTTAAGCCCAACCACGTCAGTAATTACATGAAATCCAAATAAACTTTGTGTTATAATAAAAGACAAAGAGTGATAGTTTGAACTGAAAGTAAAAATGACAATGATATGGTGTATACACAAAACAGTTCTAAAACATAAAGGCACAGAAAACATTAAAATAGAAGGTTAAGGAGGAAAAGCAAACCATACAAACACTAGCTACAATAAGGCTAGTATAATTATGTTATTATCAATCAAGGTAGACTTCAAAGCAAAATATATCATCAGACATAACAGGAAATAATGATAAGAGGTTCAACTCATCAGAAACACAAAACTTTTAGATTTGTGTGCACTGATAACATGAATTCAAATATGTAAAAGCAAAAATGAATGGTAACACAAGACAGACAAATCCACGATAGCAGTAGAAGATTTTAACAAATCTCTAACTGAATCAGCATACAAAAACTAAATTGGTGGGGATGCAGAAAGAAGTTTAAAACATAATTGGCAAAACTGACTTAATAAGACTGCAATGGCCTGAATGTTGTGTTTCTCCCAAAACTCACATGCTGAAATCCTACCTCCCAATGTGATGGTATTAAAAGCTAGGGCCTGGCCGGGCGCTGTGGCTCACGCCTGTAATCCTAGCTCTTGGGAGGCCGAGGCGGGCGGATTGCTCAAGGTCAGGAGTTCAAAACCAGCCTGAGCAAGAGCGAGACCCCGTCTCTACTATAAATAGAAAGAAATTAATTGGCCAACTGATATATATATAAAAAATTAGCCGGGCATGGTGGCGCATGCCTGTAGTCCCAGCTACTCGGGAGGCTGAGGCAGAAGGATCACTCAAGCCCAGGATTTTGAGGTTGCTGTGAGCTAGGCTGACGCCATGGCACTCACTCTAGCCTGGACAACAAAGCGAGACTCTGTCTCAAAAAAAAAAAAAAAAAGCTAGGGCCTTTGCAAGGTAATTAGGTCACAAGGGTGGAGCTCTCAGGAATGGGATTAGTGCCTTTATGAAAGGGAGCTCCAAAAAGCTCTGACTTTCTTTCCCCCCATGTGAGGATATAATGAGAAGAAAGCTATCTGAAACCTAGAAGAAAGCCCTCATCAGAACCTGATCATGCTGGCATCCTAATCTTAGATTTCTAGCCTCCAGAACTG